ATGTACGATTTTTGGTAGCATCAATATATATTAACAACAATGGTATATTATACAATATTTTTTTAATAAAATATTTTGAATGATTAACATTTACAATTCAGAAACAAAAATTGAGCTAATTACACAAATACACTTAAAGTCAGAGGCTTTTTGAAAAATCATTGTAAAAGATTTTTAAACTATAATAAACTTAAATTAGTAATTAAAACCGTATTAATTACGGTCAAAACCTACAATTAAAACACCACATTACAAACTCCAAAAGCTTAACTCTAACTCCCAAAGCTCATGAAAGCTCATTCTTCTTCTCCATTTTTTTTTTCTCTCATAAATCCAAATTCATGTAAATAGCACTGGGCGCCCTAACATTTGAACCTTTTGACGATGGAAATCCCAAACCTTCCATTTCTAGAAGTTGGAGTCCAAAATTTTGATAATTTTTTAATAGAAAACGTCAGTTTGACCATTAAAAGGTTAAATTTTAAATAAAATAACCATAATAGCATTGGTTTGATTTGAAATAAAATAATAGAAATAATTTGAATTAAAACAGAAGGATAGAATTAAAGAATAAATTACAAAAAGTGAAAGAAAAAGAAAAAGTGAAGCAATCCACGAAATCCACCTACGCACCCACTAAACATGCAATTGTCAATGGCGGCCGCCATCATTAATTCAAACACAAATTCAGATTTTAAAGGAAAGAAAGAACATTGCTTGGTGTACGGCATTACAAGTTATACATCTTTACAGTCCTTTCACAATGAGAAGATTCACAATTTTTTAATTTATGTGGGCCCCTCTCAATATGTGAGAGGGCTGTGGTGTACAAATGTTTTAACACGAGGAATATAAATTAACCAGGTTTATTCATTAAACAAAAATTGATGTGTTACCAAATCATTTTCCTTACCTTTTATGTTTCTTTTTCTTTTGTATTGTTTTTTCTTGAGATATTTTTTGAATTAATCAATTGAATAACTTGATTGCCTTAGTCGGCGAAGTCCTTTCCAAATTTTCATATATTCATGGATTTTTTTAATACCTTTGGACATATTCTATTGACCTAGTCATTAAAAATATGGTTAAATCTTTCATTAAAATACACATTTTCAAGGAAAACGTGCTGTTGGAAAAATTTATATATATATTAGAGAAAATTGTTCATAAAAATAATTTTCAACTCATTTGACTCACTATATTTAGATTATAGATATAGATTATTCCACATTTGACAACATCATTTGTATTTTAGTATCATAGAACGATGCTTAAATAATTTATTTATTTTTTTATACTTTTTGTTCCCTTTTTCTTTATATTAGTATAAATATTTTTGGTATATTAAAGTTTAGAAACAAGGATTTTATACCTGATTGGTAATTGGTACACTTCTACTTTTATCTATTTGTGGAGGTTGGTAAATTGTTGATTTGCTTAAAAATTTAATATATATATATATATATATATATATATATATATATATTGCTTGAGATCAAATGTTGCAAAACAATTTTTTGGTCCTTTTTCTTTATATTAGTATAAATATTTTTTGGTATATTAAAGTTTAGAAGCAAGGATTTTGCTTGAGATCAAATGTTGCAAAAATCGAGAGTCAAATCAAAAATCAAATTCATGAGAGCAACAATCACAATCTTAACTACATACGATTGAGTTCTCACTAAAAGTCTAAATATGAATCGTTCATCACATCAAAGATGACATAACCCTAGTTTGGCTCAATCCAAGCTTCGTAAAATGGGTATTGTGGATCAGCTCATTTTAAGAGGCCAACAATACTAGACTTGGTTCATGAGTCGCAAAGGTCTTTTTTAAAGTTTTAATATTTTACTTCTCCATTTCGAAGTAATTGACAATTAAATAAGGACAAGAATGTTTAGCAAAGGCTAGGTGAAACCCAAATGTACAAAGGTCAAGAATTACAGACTTAAATAATTCTTAATGCTGGACCAACTAGCAATGTTTCATGCTTGACAAGGCCTAACAAGTTAAATATTTTATATCACTAAAATTTTTGAAGTAATTAATTACTTATTTTGTTGAGAAGTCAAAATAAATATATTTGTTGAGATATTGATCCGTGGGACAGTGACGTGCCAACCATAGTAATGATATCTCCGGTGGGAAAATCTGAAAATACAAGCAAAGTTAGCCTTTTTTTTTCATTTAAATTTAAGCAGCATACCTGTCACAAGAACCCTTTTGCCTGCTTTAGTACTTTGCTTTTCCCTCAAATTTTCCCACCCATTTCAATCAAAATTCATATCAATTGGTTCCCATTCCCTCAATTCCAACCCAGACCTACCCCACTAGTTTCTTGAATTTTTCTTTACAAAACATGAAAATTAGCTAGTAGAATCAGAAGGAAGGTCGTCCTCATGCCCCTGCCCGTTTTCTTGACAATCACCCCTTATTCTTCATCTTCAAATAGTCTAGTCGAGCCTCAAAAATGTTGACCGCACTTTTCCTTAAATCTTACTGACACATTCTTTCGACCACACATTCCAATTAACTCAGAAGTAATATCCACTTATTCATCACTTATTTTTATCTATTTATATATTAAACCACTTATAAACTCTTCCCAAACGGATTTCATCAGCCGTACCCACTATTTTCTTGAATTTTTTGAGAAAACCTTTCTTCATCTGTCTAAAGTGTGCTGGTTTGTAGCATTCAACATAATTCTTGGACATCCACCTCCCCCCACACCAGCATTTACTTGAATGTTACTTGACTTGACAAAACTTCTTTCAGTCTTCTTATTAAAAGATTCTAAGTTGTGATTTCTTTTAGCATTCAATGCTATGTTCTGAATCATGTTCCCTTCATGATTCATACATGAATGTCCCCTAGCTCCATACCTCACTTTGTCTGTGATTTCATTTGCTGCATTTCTCAAAGGGGCTATAAATTCAATTCAATTCAATTCAGTGTACAGTAGTGCATTCAGAAGAGACTTCTGGGTTTAATGGAGATTCCAAACAAGAAAACCATATCAAAAATGGAAGATTATGAAGTAATAGAACAAATTGGAAGAGGGCCTTTTGGAGCTGCATTTCTTGTTCATCATAAGCTTGAGAAAAAAAAGTAAGGGTTGCATTTTTTATTTTTTTTAATGATTTCTTAATTATGATCAGTCATCATCATCCGATGGCAATGATTCATGTAGCCAATCACAAATTTATCGAGAGTATGGCTTGTTTTGTTGATATCATTGTTGATTTCTCCTTTTGAAATCGTCTTTTTGAATGTGTAATACAGGTATGTTTTGAAGAAGATTCGCCTTGCTAAGAAAACTGAAAAATTTAAGCATGCTGCACGCCAAGAGGTCATCCTTCCAAAACAAACTTTCTTACTAACAATTATTCTTTTGCGTTTCACGCAACACGAATTATTTCCAGGTGGTTCGTGTTGAGTAGTAATTCAATATGGCATTCAAAGGAAGGTCTACTTTATTGGTTACAGTTTAATTCATAAATCAGCACAAAAATCATGTGACGCGAATGTATTATTATTAGTTAACCACTATAGATAACTTGAATTCGTTTGCCAATAAACCACAAATGATGGATAGATTTCGTGCAATATACATGGTCTTACATACAATAAAAAACTAATCGTCCTTCGACTTGTTTCTTCCATCAGATGGATTTGATGGCAAAATTGAATAACCCCTACATAGTCGAGTACAAGGATTCATGGGTCGAGAAGGTAAACTAGCTGACTGAATTTACCTTGCAAAAACTTCCCTACACAAAACCAGTATTCTACAGTTCATTTGTCTCATAGAAATCAAGAACTATAAAGTTAAATTAAATAGTTTGAATCCATATCTTACCTTAACAAAATGGAATTTGTGTATTCTGATGGAACACAGGACAGCGGCGTTTGCATTGTGACAAGTTACTGTGAAGGTGGAGACATGTAAGTTACAAAAAGCTTATTTAAGCATTCGAACTCAGATGACTTGTTTGGTAACGTGGATTATACTGAATAGTTTTTTTGTCCAGTCCAGTTCAATACTGCATATCAAACAAATCTTGAATGTTCTCATGTCAATTTTAACCCGATCTTTACATTCTCTTTGATATGCTGATGCTACTACTACAGGGCAGAGATAATCAGAAAAGCTAGAGGAATATTTTTCCCTGAAGAGGTAAGAAATCCATACTAACCAATTCGACGTTAAAGGCCTGTAAATAAGCAATCTATTTCTCTTTTCTCTCTACAGAAAATCTGCAAATGGCTGACTCAGTTACTTCTAGCTGTGGATTACCTTCACTCTAATCGCATCCTTCACCGGGATCTTAAGGTATATGTCTTTGTGAAGTCCTAAAAGGGATTTCAACATATTCATATGTTCTTATGACTTCTTTTGCTCCTGATCCAGTGCTCAAACATTTTCCTTACAAAAGACAACAAAATCAAACTTGGTAAGAAGAGAGACAGCATATTACATTCTATGATCCTCCAGCATTTTCTTGTATCTAATGTTGGATATACAGGTGACTTCGGACTTGCAAAACTGCTGAGTAAAGACGATCTTGCTTCATCTGTAAAGATATTTCTTCCTATGACTAAAATTAGTTCGTTTTCATCAGCAAATCTTTATGTTGATAAATACATGTTGATTAGGTTGTCGGAACTCCAAACTACATGTGTCCGGAAATTTTAGCAGATATACCATATGGCTACAAATCAGACATATGGTCCTTAGGTAGTGTTTCTGGTAACTTGTTGATTTAATGTATCATTATGTCAGGACGAGTCTCAGCACATTTTCTGTTTTCAGGTTGTTGTATGTTCGAAATAGCTGCCCATGTACCTCCATTTCGAGCTGCAGTAAGTTTCATATTCATTTTCTTCCTAGTTTCATCTGTAATCTCTAGTTTAAATCATAGTCAATATGTATGAATATTGATAAAACAGGACATGGCTGCACTCGTGAAAAAAATAAACAGATCAACTATTTCTCCTCTCCCGACTGTATATTCCTCGACTTTGTAAGTGAATATAACGTTTATCGATGAAAATTCTCAACCATAGCTCGAGTTTTTTGGCTAATCTTAAACTGCAGTAAGTAACGAGAAAAAAGAAAATATTTGACATTGCAGGAAGCAAGTGATTAAAAGCATGCTTCGACGAAGCCCAGAACATAGGCCAACAGTAAGTGAGATACTCTTAACTCGTCTCATTTATGTTACAATTTCATCTGATGCTTCAACGTCGTCAATTTAGGCTGCAGAACTTTTAAGGCATCCGCATTTGCAACCATATCTTGTGCAGTATAGCGACTTACCTCCTGTCTTTCTTCCGGTTAAATGTGAAATTGAGTCCAAGTGCAAAGCAACGAGGACGAAAATTCCTGACAAACCTACATCAGACAAGGATAGAAAACCAGGAACGAAAGGAATGGTGGAAAGGTCGAAAGATAATCAAGTACCTAAAATGGATGTGAGAGCTGAAAAGAGCTGTCCCAACAAACACGAAAGTATTGACTCGGGATCCTCATCAGGATCAAGTACACTGACTGAACAGCGCGGAGAAACAGAACGAAAAGAATGTACTCAGATTGATCGTAAGAATCCTTGCAAGAAAATACTCCGAAGAATGGAAATGCCAAGCTCGTTTCCTACTTGTAAGAACCGAATAATTGAAGATGAAACGTCGTTGGAAGGTAAGCAAGTACGCAAAGATAAAAGTATAGAGGCCCTTGTACATACTGATGAATTCGGAGGAAACATATCAGAAAAAAGAACTCTAACAAGTGTTGCTCCAAGTGAAGAGAAGGCAGAAGCTATGGAGACGTTACTCGAACTTTGTGCACAACTATTGAAACGAGAAAGGCTCGAGGAACTTGCTGGCGTGCTGAAACCATTCGGTGAAGAAGAAGCTGTATCGTCGAGAGAAACGGCAATTTGGTTGACAAAAGGATTGATGAATATTCAAAGACAAGGTGAAGAAGTTTAGCAGTATCAAACTTTCTGAACTTTCTTGTACAATTGTTGCAATGCTTGTAAAAACACCTGACAATCAAATCACCAGTTTTTTTATTTTGATTTTACTTTCAAAAAAAGTAAAAATTCTTCGAACAGCTATCTGACCTAACGTTCCAATTTCCTGACGTGGGAACCACATTTGCAACGTTAAAAAATTCGAACGTTAGAGCAAATCCAACGGCTATAAATACTAATATTCACTCAGTACATCCCTCACATTACAATTCTCAGCTTCTCTCTCTCTACATAGAATACTATCTCTCCATATCATTTTCTTCTCTCGCCAAAATATTCAAATGGCATATTTCGGAATTTCAAGTGCTGTTGCTACCATCTTCGTCGTCTTATGTCTGGCAGCCTTTGCTGTGAGGGCACAAGATGCTGATTTAACCCCGGGACTGGCTCCGGCACCGGGGCCGGATGCTGGACTCGGGTTATCGCTATCCGCCTCAGGTGTCTTCATTTACTCTTCGTTGCTCCTGTCTGCCATTGGGATTCTCATGCAGTAGACATACACGTTTTTGGAAGATTGAGAAGCCGAAAATGATGAGAGAAAGAAACAATACAATGGCAGCGATGATTATTCTATTATTTAATTTTAATTATTGTTATTTTTTCTAGTGTTTTTCCTAACCTTTGGTTAGGATTTGATATATATTTATCTGGTTGTGAGTGGATTTGATGAATAAAAATATACTATATTTCTGTAAATCCATTTTTTTACGTTGGTAATTCATTCATAAGGAGGCTGAATTGAAATGGATTTTTGTTAAATATTTTTAATTACAAGATATGTAATGAATAAAAAATAAATAAAATTGTGAGAAAGCAATACAAATGACAACACTAAATTGACCGATTTAATTTGTTGGGATTTTGCTATTTTGTACACGAGGGTTGACAC